GAGAAATTAACAGCAAATATCCCAAAAGCAATAGAATTGATCTTATAAAGAGAGCTGATTGGATCTTGCCTCGAATTGTGAGGAAAAAACCCATATCTGGAGTTCGTACATTTTATACAGATGCCAACAAACAAGGAAAGGCAGGTTACAAATCAGAAAATTTAAGTAAAGTGGTTCAAAGTCCTTATAATTCAGTTCAAAAATCAGAATTGTATGCTATTCTGTTGGTATTAATGGATTTTTCAGAACCTCTCAATATAGTAACTGACTCTCAGTATGCTGAAAGAGTAGTATTACATATTGAGACTGCAGAATTTATCCATGATGCTTCAGAATTAACTTCATTATTTATTCAATTACAAGATACAATCAGAAAAAGGAGTCATCCTTTATATATAACTCACATCCGATCCCATACTGGTCTGCCAGGCCCTCTAGCACAAGGCAATGATGAGATTGATAAATTATTGATAGGAAATGTGCTGGAGGCCTAAGAATTTCATAAAAAACATCATGTAAATAGTAAAGGTTTAAAAAAGGATTTTTCCATAACCTGGCAACAAGCCAAAGAAATAGTAAAGAAATGTCCTACTTGTTCCTTCTACAATCAAACACCATTACCAGCAGGATGTAACCCAAAGGGTACTCAGAGGAATGAAATCTGGCAGATGGACGTGTTTCACTTTGAAGAATTTGGAAAACTGAAATATGTACACCACACTATCGATACTTATTCAGGATTTCAATGGGCAACTGCTTTGTGTTCTGAAAAAGCTGATTCTGTAATCACTCATTTGCTAGAAGTTATGGCCATTATGGGTATACCTGCACAAATCAAAACTGATAATGCTCCATCATATGTCTCTGTTAAAATGAAACAGTTTTTTGCTTATTATAATATAAACCATGTTACAGGTATACCACATAATCCTACAGGTCAAGCAATTATAGAAAGATCAAACAGAACTCTAAAGGATATGCTAAATAAACAAAAAGGAGTAACAAAAACCCCCAGAAATAGACGACATAATGCTCTATTCACTTTGAATTTTCTCAATGCCAATGAGAAAGGAACAACAGCTGCAGAGAGACATTGGATAATAGAAAAAACTACAGAATTAAATCAACCTATATACTTTAAGGATGTGCTGACCTCAGAATGGAAACCAGGGTATGTGTTACGTTGGGGACGAGGTTTTGCTTTTATTTCTACAGGAGAAGATAAGCTGTGGGTACCATCAAAATTGATAAAGGTTCGATTTGAACAAGAGAGACCTCTTAATTAGAGGAGGTGATAGTTCATCAACTATCGTAAACACCCAATTTAAACTAACTTACACCAGTAACACATGCCTTTTCATTTAATCAGATAACTTGGCAAAAAGGAACATCCCCAAAAAACCTTGGGGAAAGGTTTTTGTTTTTGTCTTTTAGGAGAATGAAGGTTAAGGAATTTGAAGAACACTGGACAAATGAGACAACTGAAGAAAAGGGACAAATCATCTATCCTAAGAAACAGAGTGAAATGGCGTATGGGTATGTTATCTAAAAAAAATTTATGTCTTCCTAAATGTTTGTTTCTGCTTTTCTTTAAAGATTTAACACTACTTAACTTCTAATAGTCCCAGTTCAATTAAAATTTAAAGCTGACTTTGGAGTTGGAGAATGGCTCTCTCCTTCTTTAAACTCAAGCATGTTGTTAAAAGGAAAATGCAAACTCCCTGTATCATGACAGAAGAAAAGAGCCATCTTCTGCTATGGGACAGGAGAAAAGCCAAATTAATTAAGGGACTATTCTATTACGAATCTCAACTCTTTGATTCTATTCTGATTCTTTAAACTTTTCTTAAAGTATGAACTTTATATCAAAATTTACAAGATCAATATATATAGATATATATACATTTTAAACTTTGTTAAGATATAAATGGTCATATAGAGTACTAACTAATTCTAAAAAGTCGCATATATAGTCTTTGTGTTCGAGTCTCTTATCAGTTTTTTTGCAGGAAATCACGGTTAGGCCTAACATCAACTGAAGTCTCCAGGAAGAAGATGGGGCCCCACAACAACAACAATTCCACGTGGACAATAATAACATCACTAAGCTGACAAACATCATCTACAGATCAGCTTTGAACTACAAAGTGCTCAGAGCAATTTTGAGAAGAGCTAGCTGAGATGATCCAGTCTCAAAGACTACTTGAATAAGGATTTGAGATAAACCCTGAATTTTGGCATTATACACAGACTGGATAACGTAGGATCCTAGAATTTGACAATTAACCTAAAATTTTTCTTTCAGGATAAAGATACCTTCGCCCATACCCAGCAGGAAGCAATTTCAAGAATACGACGCCCACATTCCCAAAGAGGTGGTGTGGGGCGGTTGGTTTTTTTAGTCTTTTAATGGGTTTTGGGTCTGGGATAATTTTCATTGATTAGGGGGGTTGGTTACAAGTTGTTGTCAAGGGTTAGGAAAAAGGCTAAGCAAAGGAGATTAGATTTAAGGTTCTTATTAAAAAAAAAAGAAAGAAAAGAAAAATGTAAATACTTTACATTGGATTGGATTGTTTTATATTGTATACAAATTATATATATTGAAATTGAAATTGTTAGAAAATGTTATATATATTTTTCTAATTGTACCGTTCATCTAACAATGTAATGCAATTTTCTGATCCTTGAATGTTATTACCAACTATTAGGATATAAAGAAATGAAAGTTAGTAGTTAGATATTATAATAGAACTTGTAGTTATATTAGGTATGTTTTCAAGATTGAGTAGATATATTTTAGATAGACAGGTTATCTTCAAACCCTTCAGAGATCTACAGAATATGGCATTTAAAATGTTTTAATAACTTAGAAAATTTTTCTTTTTTGTTATGACTATGAGACATGTCGGCTCCTGGCAGTACCAATCTACTTCAGAGAAAATATGGGCATTGAAGAAACTGCATATGGAGTTAACTTTCATTGTGGCAAAAGTTAGCCACTGGACAACAAAGTATCCTCAAATCAACAGGACAAAATGGACAGACAGGACATAAAACAAAGGATTACTGATTCTTGCCAAAACAAGTGTGGTTATGGCTTTATCAAAAGGCATCTTCAGAGGCCAAGACAATATGGCACCATCCCTGAAGTGGCCTTCGCAATTCGAAAAAGGTACAGTGCCCTTTTCTTCAAAGGCAGCTGAACAGGCAGTGGGCCGATGGCCTCTGATGTGCAATGGAACAGCAGCTGAAACAGTTATTCTTGAAGAGTAACTAAGCTCACGCCTCTCAATAGTAGACTGGCATTTGATGGAGGGATATGGAGAAGAATGGGATGCTGAGATGAAGCCATATATACACAGCCAAGAGGAATGGACAGCTGAATTAAAAAACCATCAACAATTTCCAGAATTTAAAATCCTGAATCATGACATGACACTAGTGGAATTCAGGTGTTTCTGGTACATGGACTACTCTCACTCAATGTGAGGTTGAACTGTTGACCTTGTGTACATCCTACTTCACAAATGAGTCTGTCAGATATGCTAAGCCTATAGGCTGAAGATGATGCCCCAGCACTTCGGAGAAACCTCAGGTGACTGTCCAGGCAGCTATCTGTTTCTGTCAACTCACAAATTTTTTGGAAGTTGCTTATGTGCACTTCCTGTTTTTATTTTTGTTAGCTAATATTATTTCCTTCTTGGGTCTCTGAGGGAGTTGAAGATTAGTTAGTTATAGTTGAAGGTTAGTTAGTTATAGTTGAAGATTAATTAGGATACATTTTGGACTTACCAAAATAGGATAGATAATGAAATTATTTTCTCTGAATTTGTCAAATACAAATGGACTAGACATTGTTTAGGTATTTATTACTTGTATATATTGTATATAGTTATTGTACTTTTGTATATAGTTTTTCTTATATTAGTTATAAGCTTTTTCTTTTTTTTCCTTTTTATTAAAATAGAAAAGGGGAAATATGGTGATATTTTATTTGTATTAAAATGTTATTTGTATGTTAATAAATAAAGTTGCCCAGGGGTCAGAGCTATTAGCAAGCCATAGGAAAGCAGGGCAGTGGTAGCGTACGCTTGTAATTCCAGCACTTGGTAGGCAGAGCTGGGTAAGTCTCTGTGTGTTCAGGGATACAGCCATCATTGGATACACATGCTTTTAATCTTAATACCAATCATGGAAAACCTGGAGGCCTATACAGACAGGCTGTGAGGAGGCGGTCATGTGGTTGGGTTTACAACCAATGAGAAGGCAGGACAGGAACTCTATATAAAGACTTTAACACAGGGGTAGCTCTGGTTCGGAGAGGTAGGACCACCGCAGGAGGAAGGGTAAGGTTTTAGCTCTTAGCTCTGACCTCTTGGCTTTCTTCTTTGCATTGGTTCTGTGTTTATTATTTAATAAGAAGGTTGGATACATCTACACTGGGGGATGTCTTTCTGTATGCTGTGAATATATGTTGTTCCCGTTGGTTAATAAATAAGCTGCATTGGCCTATGGCATGGCAGCTTAGAGGCAGGTGGAAAATCCAAGGAGAGAGACAGGAAGGAGAAAGGCAGAGTCTGGAGAGACACCAACCCACCACCCAAGGAGAAGCAAGATGCCAGCAGACTGGTAAAGTCACAGAACACATGGCAAAACATAGATTAATAGAAATGGGTTAATTTAAGATATAAGAGCTAGCTAGTAAGAAGCCTGCCATAGGTCATACAGTTTGTGAATAATATTGAGCCTCTGTGTGTTTACTTGGGACCAAGCTGGTGGGAGAGATTTGTCTGACCGTGGGCTGGGCGCGACATAGGAAATCTGCTACAGAGGGGTACTACATGGGAAGGAGAAGGGCCTCAGCAAGAGTGGAAAAAGGATAAGAGAGGGCACTGAGGGGTGAATGTGATCATGGTATAAAGTATGAAGTTGAAAAATTAGTAAATAAAAAGTCCACATCATGGACATGGATTTTTTTTAATTTGTTTTATTTTCAGAAGTCAAGTGTATATACATGGCATAAATCAAAGCCACATTGTGTTTGTACAAATGCCCTATGGTTCCAGAACTGCTAATTGCAGCTAACAAGAACAACCAAGATTAACAACACCTGCTTTGGAACTTCACCTATTCTACAAAAATATCAATAATAATACAGGAAAGAATTTAATCTAGAGACATTAAAGAATAAGAAATTACAGAGTAATGGGATACAAAATACACTTTTAGAACTCTAAAATTGACTATGCATTTTACTTAATTATAAAAAACAAGTTATAGAGTTAATTTATCCTCTTTTCTATCCAGTTCCACCTCTTAAGAACTGACAAAATCTTGAATGAGATGCATTATATCATATTTAATTGGTTCTAGATGTTCATACACAAACTTTCAGACTGTCAGTTATCTGGAATTCATTGTTTGCTTACTAGATTAGTTAGGATAATGACCACATGTGAATAATTGAAATTCAAATAACAGTGCTTTAAATACACTCATAGCTTACTTGTTTTTAGGCAAAATTTGAGAGGTAAACAATCCAAGAGAGTGTTATGCAAGCATTCTTAGAGACTTAGGTCTTGACTGGCTTTCTGCCCTAGTGTTCATGGGTTTGGTCTTCACTTAGGCTCTGAGGTGGCATGACAGCCATTCCATACATGTGTGCAGCAAGCCAGAAGGAAGGATTGAGAAGGATCAATGACTGCATGCCCGCTGAAGGATCCTGAAATGTCACAGGGCATTTCCACTTACAACTCTATAAAAACAAAGAAATGCCACACTTTACTACAAAAGAAACCAACCAGTATACTTTAAAAAATTATTTTAGGGAGTCATTTAGTGGTCTAAAATCCATACTGTAAGACACCTAAAAGTAGCTATTTAGAGAAAGCTAGCCATCTTTCTCATTACCATTTCACCCATACTCCCAGAGAGTCTGCTTATGTTTCTAATGTTTGCCCTTGAGTGCAAAACCCTGGTAACAAGTGCAGTATACAAGTAGCCAGATCAGTACTGGTTGTGGTAGCTTGAATAAGAACGGCCCCCACAGGCTCATATGTTCAAATACTTGGTCCCCAATTGATCAAATTGTTTTGGAAGGATTAGGAGGTGTGTCCTTGTAGGAGGAAGTGTGTCACTGGGGGCAGGCTTTGAGGTTTCAGAAAACTGGTACCATTTCCAATATGCTCTCTGCCTCCTGCTTGTGGATCAAGATGTGAGCTTTCAGCTGTTTCTGCTGCCATGCCTCTGCCATCATGAACTCTGACTCTCTGAAACATAAGCCAAATTAAACACTTCTTTTATAAATTGCCTTGGTCACAGTGTTTTGTCACAGCAATAGAAAACTAATACATGGGTAAGGAAATAATGCAAAAGGTGTGTCTTATTATCTGTGTGTTGGTGCTATACTGATAGATAAAACCCAAATAGTCCAAGAATTAAGAAACTGTAACCCATTCACTAAATCAGCAATATATTCTGGAAACAAATATATAAATCCCACTTCTCTGCTGCCAATCAGGTCACATTTGAGCAGTTTATAGTTCTACTGGAATGATGGCATAGACACATAAAATACTATGCAACCCCCAAATTATTAATAATAAAATAATAAATTTGAAGTCTACATAGGATTAAATGATATTCTGTTAGAGTAGACACTATTGAAGGGATTTCTGTTTTGGCTGTGCTGGCTAGGAAACTGGAAGGACTGATAATCCTTCTGAAAACTAAGAATACTCAATTAAATATACAACTGTCACTTTAAAAACATTGATGACATGACAAAATAGTAAAATGGTGTCAATCAGAAGTCGAGTGAGAAAAGACTATAAATAGAGCAGAAGATTGGTGCTTCTCTTGCCTCAGAAACTGTCTTCTGAACCAATACATTGGGATTCATTTGCACAGCCTGAAACCATAGGGATTAGAAGCAAAGCACAGAGTTAACTCAAATTAAGTCACAGTAAATGCTTCTCAACTAATAACCAGGATCTTGAGTGACTACACACAGTGGAAATGAATCTCAATAGCTGTCCCTCTCACCTCCCCATACCCACAGGGGCTGCAAGGAAACATGTCTTGATATTAAGGAGAACAAATGTGATAAATTGTCTCTGAGAAGCTGTAATCATAAACCAGTGTTGGAACAGATTTATGACTCAAATTCATATCACTTATGTGGACCAAGAGACCTTACACTATAAATTTAGCTGAAAATGGTCCTGGACATGGTTCCCTTGGTACTTGGAAAAAAACAAAGAAAACTCATCTCTGAATTTTTAAAATAATTCATCTTCCTCTTTATTTTTAGCCTAAGCATCAAAAATTTTCCTCTCAAAAATGTCCTATAGGAAAATGAACAACTAGCTTTATACATACCAAGAATAATAACAAAAATTCAAAGCAGAGTCAGACAACGTATTCAAGTTGTTAACTGTTAACTGCAAATGCATATTAAACAGAAAATCAACATGTCTGTCAAGAGCTATAGCAATGGGTGCAGCAAATGTGTGAAAGAGAAAAATCAATATTCTAGCCATAAAATACTGTTATTTTTTATATTGTCTCAAACCTTAAAGCCAGCATATTTTAGTCGTATGGTGTTCTTTTTTTTTTTTTAATTAAAATACCTGTCATCTTTATTCTAGCACTTACTATTCAAATTTTCAGCTCACCTCTAAATGCACTGGATACAAGGTTTCATGTCAAGTATCAGGGTGCCACTGTTCATCAGTGTCCAGTGGGGAGACCAAGGGATCTGAGAGTGTAGACTGTCTCTTTCTGATGAACTCACTCAAGAGAAAGCTACAACTAGGTGAATTTCATAAACATGTCTCAACATCATTGAGGATTTGAGAAATTTTTGCTTAAATCTTAGTTTATACAAATATTCCAGGACCTGCTAAAAGGGAGCTAAATCTATGAATAAAATACTATGTGATTTCACCTGAAGGCAAGTATCTTTCCCCCAACTTCCCAAGAATGTATCTGGAGACACCCCAAAGTAGAAAACTTAAATGATGGAAGGAACTTGAGAAATTCAGGTGAAATGTATTGCATTTCATTTCATAATTGTCATAAAAAAGGATTGAAATAATAAATTAACGTAAATTAAAAATCCTTTAACTCCAAGCTAGAGCAACAAGATTTATCTCTGAGAAAGAAAAGGAAAGACCAGAACTATACAGGGAGACTGAACCATTCTAGACAGATGAGGAATAACCAAGGATCTTAATAACAATGTGCATCCAGGTGCTTAAAATGTGGACTAAAGTTAGCACTGTGTTTTAAGAGTATTTTAAATTTTGAAAACACTTATAAAGAGTAAATAAATTTAATAATTTTAAAAGTGTTCTAAAAGTAATCTGTGGAACCTAAGCAAATCTGTGTTGAACTTTTATTTACATGAAAACTTACAAGTGCAAAGGCTTTTGGGTATTGATACCAGCATGCACTGATGTATTGATAACACACTGCAGCCTTACATTGTTTTTCTAATTACCCCAGGGCAAAAGAAAATAATTGTTAGAATTGGTGGTAAAGTGGTAGAGTTAACTTCTTCCCTTCAAAACTCGTGCTCTTTAAGCTAAAATTCTTACTCTCTTCCTCCATCCATCCCCCCAAACCAATCCCTCATGTTGCCTTCCCAGCCTTAATACAAGGGGAAGAGCTTAGTCCTATGTCAACTTGATGTGCCAGGCTTTGTTGACACCCACAGGAGGCCTGCCCCTTTCTGAACAGAAGCAGAGGAGGAGTTGATTGGGGGATGGGCAGAGAGGAGGGAGCAGAAACGGCAGTCAGGATATAAAATAAATGAATGAATTTAATTAATAATAATAAGTTACATTTTTTTTAGATATTTACTTTACTTTTAACCAAGTGGGTTTTTTTTTGGGAGGGGAGAGGTATATGCATGTGCATGTATGTGCACATGCCATGGAGTCCAGAGGAGGAAACTCTCTATGGAGCTGGAGTTACAGGTACTGTGAGCTGCTGATGTGGGTACTGGGAACTGAGCTCAGGTCTTTGCTTTCCACCTCAGGTTCCTCCCTCCAGTCCAACTGATAATTCTTAGAAACAGTTAGAAGTTAATCACGTCTCTAACATTTAGGATGCAAAAAAATTCTATGATCCATTTGTTATTTGTACTAGATTTGAACAAAAATATCACTGGTAAAAACAATATTTACAAGATGCAAATAAATAAATAAAAACCTTTGGTCAAAAACATTTTTTTTAAATCACCAAAATTCTAGACTTCATGTTATTTGTCTTAAGGTTTAAACAATTAAACTAAAATCTTGAAAAAATATGGTCACAAAAGAAACAGGAAGAGAGAGAGAAACAAGGAAACTAAAGAAAGAAAAGTGAGGAGAAAGCCCTAGGCAAACCAGGCAGCAAACTTGAACATTGTGTCTCATTGTATTCAGGAGGGAAAAGACGGGGCTTCCAAAATGCTAATATTAGTACAGCTTTCTGACTCATCCCTTTATCCCCCACAGCACCTGGCACATTGCTTTGCATATGTACATAATCAATATTTAAATGAATGGATGCATGCATATGAAGCTTAGAGTTCTAAAATGCTATATTTTAATTCTCCCCCTCAAATCTCACACCATACACTCATCATAGTTTTTAAAACCTGATAGAACTGAAATTAAAGCAGGATTTGGGTCCAGGAAGAGCACAAATTGATTCATGTTTGGAAGTTTGATACAATAGATACCCATCTCTGTGTGAAAGTGCTTTGCTAAAGTCACTGTGTAATTAATTTGAAATACCATTCTGCTATCCATAATACAATTATCTAAGAACTTAGGAGCCTAAAGCAACAATTTGTTATTATTTCCTGTGACTCAATGGGGTGGCTGGTTCTAACTTCGGGTTTCTGATGTGCTAGCATCTGAGGCTGGAAATATGTGAAGCCCTAACTGGTCTGCTTATCCAAATGACTCTTCTCATGGGGGTGGCTACTGTGGGATGGTCTGTATGTCAAATGTGTTGCTGATTGGTCAATAAATAAATCACTGATTGGCCATTGGCTAGGCAGGAAGTATAGGCGGGACAAGGAGGAGAATAGAGCTGGGAAGTGGAAGGCTGAGGGGGAGACACTGCCAGCCGCCATCAGGACAAGGAAGATGTAAAGTACCGGTAAGCCACAAGCGACGTGGCAAGGTATAGATTAATAGAAATGGATTAATTTAAGCTGTAAGAACAGTTAGCAAGAAGCCTGCCACGGCCATACAGTTTGTAACCAATATAAGTCTCTGTGTTTATTTGATCGGGTTTAAGCGGCTTGGGACTGGCGGGTGAGAGAGATTTATCCTGACTGTGGGCCAGGCAGGAAAACTCTAGCAACAGGTGGCAGTTAATAATTGCTACCAACTGGGCTCAGCTGGAACTGTCAAGTAAGTCCCCACATGTGGCTTCTCTCCGAGTTTGGATTTCTCACCGTAAATGTAACTTTAGGGTAAATATCCCAAATTATCAACAGAACAGTTATGAAACATCTCATAACCTGGTCGTGGAGTCAGAGTGCCACCTTGCCAGCCTTCTATTGGCCACACTTACCATCAAAATCAGCCCAGGTGATGTAATTAGGCTCCACCTCTCGGTGCAACCAGCAGTATGTGAGTAGAAGGAAGGAAAGAATTATGGTGGGCATCACATGGAGATGCCACAATGCCTGCTCTCCATGGAATCTTTAGTAAGTTAGATGTGAACTGCTCCAGATGAAATTTGAGTTGTATTAATACTCACCCTGAAATCATGTTCATATAATTTCAAGCTGAATATTTATATGGCAAAAAGAATATTTAGACCATACCAAAATCTTGAAAGGGGGACTAGAGAGACATATCTAAGGATAAGAGTACTTACTGCTCTTGCACAGGACATGGATTCAGTTCTCATCACCTACATGGCAGCTCCCAACTGTCTGCAACAGTAGACTTGACATCTTCTGTTGGCTTCTGAGGACACTAGGCATGCACAAGGTGCACATATATACATGCAGGAGAGCATACACATAAGATAAAGTTAAATAAATCTCTTCTTAAAATCTTGAAACAAGACTTCAACTCCACTCATGAAAACAATTTGTCAAACCCCAGCAGTTTTGGTGGACTTTAAAAGAATATACCTGTGTTGTTTTTGAGAAAACAAAAGAAATAATATTATCATTATCTCTGGAAGATAAATCTTGTTCCATCTGACTGTCTTACACAGTCTAGGAATAAAAGTACAGTCTTATTATTTTTCTTGGTCTTATTAGAATGGTTTGCTTTGCCCTGCTAACATAATCAACAACAGAAAAGCAGAGAAAGTGGTTCAAAGTTTCTAATCTCTACAATCTGTCCAGATGCTTACATGGTATAGTAATTTTATCTTCATAATAATCCAAAAAGCAGATATGACTGGCCCCATTTTGCAAATGAAACTGAAGTTCTTAATTTAGAAAATTATCCAAGAAAATGAAGGAATAGTTGTGGGATTCCTACATTTTTTCTTACACTATCTTATCTCATGAGCCAAAGTTAGTTTCTGTACACATGTACATTTATAAATATATACATATGCATATATAATTTTCCCATTTTATTTTTTATTATGTTTATTTATTTATTTGGTTTCTCAAAATGAGTTTTCTCTGTGTGACAGCTCTGGCTATCCTGGAACTCACTTTGTAGACCAGACTCACAGAGATCCGCCTGTCTCCCCAGTGCTGGGATTAAAGGCATGCACCACCAAATCTGGCTTGATTTTTCCCATTTTAAAACTGTATGTATTTATTGTGTATATAACAAGATACCACCTTGGACATTAGAGGACTTGGGGAAATTGGTTCTGTCTTCCACATGAGGTTGTGGGGAATGTTTCAGGGATCCAACTTGGGGGTTCAGGCTTGGTACCATGTGCCCTTCGCCTGCTGAGCCCTCTTTCTCTATAACATGTATGTATTACAGAAATGACAAATATTATCTATAGATTGTATATAATAGATGCTACATATCACATAATATGTACATTATCCTGTATATTATACAAACTCTCTCCCAAGAGGTGATAGTATAAAAATACATGCCAAAAAAGAGGATAATTTTTGAAAAAAAGAAAATACATTCTAGTCACACTTCAGTTTGTCTGATGCATGAAATAAAGGTGAATACTGTATTCATATAGATTCTAGCAGGGACAGGGATGGCCTTACCTTCCTCCATGTGGAAAATGAAAAGTCATTCAAACAGGTGGGAATGACATGCTGTAAATCTGTTTTTAGGCACATGCGATGCTGTGCTTTTATCAGATCTACAGAAAGAATATTCCAGGGAGCTCCTCCTTGCAAGGCATCTTTATGATTAAGTTGCAATCTAAACCAATTAACAAATACCTAGTAGAAGAGTCTCAGGTAACATTCACATATGGTTGTTGCTCTTTCAGGTAAACAAGAATTATTAGAATACTTTCACTTTTCTGGTAAAGAGAGGATTAATTTAACATATTCTTTATTTCGGGGAAGGGTGGGTTACATGTGTTCCAAGGTCAGAGGACCAATTTTTAAAGGTTGGTCCTCTCCCTCTATATGTGGGTCCCAGGGAGCATCAAGCTTCAATGACCTTTACCCCTTGAGCTGTCTCATGGGTCCTGAAGACCACACGACAGCTTTCTGCAAAAGCCTAAAACCAAAGACAGCCAAAACCATTAAATCAGACTCTGAAAGATAGATGCATTATTTAAATATTAGCACAGAAGCACTCGTGAATGTGAGCCATTGAAGTTTAAGTTGTTTATCTCTTAGACAGATTTAATTTAATATCATGCAAGGCAAACAGACCTTCACTTATTCTAGTCAAAGAATGTTGTCAGTAGCAGCTACTTCCTATTAAAAGAGAAAAGACAAATGGAGCAATAATCATCTGTGTGTGTCCACAGAGCAGAATTGACTTGAAATGTTTGTGAAACAGTGGTCTTATTTCTTGTAGTTAATAGCTTAAAAGTGTACAGGTATCTTGGGTCTTGCTATGATAAACTCATATTCAGAGTAGGTAATGCAGTCAGACATAGCAGTCAAGGTCAGGTAATTCTGCTTTGTTTTGTAGAATCTGTTTCAGTAGCTATACTGTGGTTGATAAATGTTCTCTTTTGTACTAATTTTTTTTTCCCCAAAACTAATCCTAGTCACATGTGCAATTTCAGACCTAAATAAGGACTTCACAGAAATCTTGGGAACAAACTGAGTGTCTCTTCCCTGTTCTGCAGGGGACAGACATTATTCTTCTATGGTGTGTTTATTTTGGAGCAGGGCATGCATGGCAAGGCACACATGTGAGGCCAGAGGACAACTCATGGGAGCTGGTTCTCTTCTTCCACCATGTGGGTCTCGGAGACCAAGCTCAAATCATGACCCTTGGCAGTGAGTGCCTTTGCTTACTGAGCCATCCCACCTGCCCAGCATTACAATCTTAAGAGTGATTTTCATGTTGCTTTTTCCTGAACAATTTCCATACATAAGGCATCGTACAACTTCTAATAATGTTTTTCCTGGAAAGTTGACATAAAATTTACAAAGAGTGTGAAAGAATGCCTGCTTCCTCTTCCCTTCTGTGCTTCAAGCACAAGTCACAGCACTTGCATGCTTTACAAGCACCTGTGAGTTTAAGAAAGGCGTCTTGTCTTTCAAATAAATCCCTTATCTTGGGCCCTGTTCAAGGTTCAGTTTTACCGCAAGGGTTGATGCCACAGTATCACAGCCTCTGAAGTGGGAGTCAATTAAAAGCTTGACCACACCCTCCTGGGAGATAAGTTGGCAGCACCAACTTCATGGGTAGCCAATAAGGCAGTAATCCCCAAACACCACGTCTCTAAGCAATAGCAATTAAAGTAGGGTGGCATTTGGTAGACCTTCCCAGTTCACCTAATCAAATATTCTGTCTCTTATAGTGATCAACCCAAAAGTGTCCCTGAGGAATGGATCAAACTCAGTAGGCCTGACCCTGGCTAGCTTCTAAGATCATACTAAATTGGGTTTATACAAGGGAGTATGATGGTAGACTGGAAAATGTTCTCATATCCAAGCCCATGTGCAATAGTCCTATTGATGAGCATTAAATAACCTTTGCTCCACTGCCGGCTACCATAAAATTATCTAGTTAGCACTTTTGAAAAGTGGACACAATGACTGTCTTACTTGGTTCCACTCAGGTAGGTAATATATCTTGTTCACTGTTTCAACCTATAAATCCACTTTAAAGACAGGCACGGTGGCTCATGCCTATAATTCCAGCACTTGGAGGGCAGAGGTAATAGGATTGCTTTGGTTCAAGTCCAGCCAGGACTGCACTGTGAGTTCCAGGCCACCCTGACTACAGAACAAGACTTTGTCTCAAACAAAAGCCCACTTTTGTCTTCTAAAAATGATTTTAGTTTATAAAATGTGGTTTCTTCAGCCAATAGGCTTCCAGTGAATTAGTAAGCTTGACTAGTGCCTTTTTTCCATATGAAATAAAACATGAGCAATCTCTTTTCTACGGGTACAGATCAATTCCATGCACCCTTGTTTAAAACCAGCTAAGTGAGCATGTTGACCAGGAGAACTACTTTATCTTAGAAGTGGTAGATGCGCTCAGCCTTGGGATTCCTCTAAAGACTTCTAGGGCAGAAGAGGTTGAAGATTCCTAAACACATGGCTGATAAGGTTGTCTGGTTGACAATTTGAAATATTCCTGGGGCAGTTTTACTGAAAATGCTTTTCTTTTATAATCTGGCAATATTTCCACTGCATTGCAAAGAATCCTTTGTAATCACCATCTTGTGCATCTTGGAAAATCATGCACACTCGGTATCTTGTCAGCAAGTCCTTTTCCTAGACAAGCCGTATTGTCTAGGCTATTTACACTCTAAAGGGAGCCCAACAATGAGGCAGCAATTTTTCTAAACTTAAACCTAAATGCTGTTAACACATTTTGTTTTTCAACAACCAGACAAATCTCTAATATTATTTCATTAAACTTCAGCATTTATGGTTTTTTTTAAAAAAAATATTTGTTAAAAAGAAAAAGTGCTTATGCTCTTGTTTATATGAATCTGGGGTGTCTATGGATTGAACTGATTCTTCAGTAGCAATGGAATTACTGAGATGTGTAAGCAGAGAAGATAGTGACACTGATTGACATTCAAATCTTCTCTCTACTCCGACTGGAATTGTTCCTTGTGTTTATTGAAATGATAACATCTTGCAACAGGTTATGAGATTAAATAAGAAAATGCATTAAAAAATCTCTAGTAAAATATCTAACTCATACAGAGCTGCGATAAGCGTTTATTTACTGGCACGACCAAACATGAAGATGGAAAAAAATATTTGCCAGAGATTATACTCACTCCACCCAGGTGACAAGGCCAAGCTCTTAGAGAGCATGTCCAGTTTCATTAGCCAGAGATTTGCCTGTATTGCTCCTTTGGAAAGATTTCCCACCACAGAATAAGATATGGGTGAGTATAAACCCCACTCCTTCATCCTGAGGAAATGTCCTGAGGTTTACTTCCCCTCTGGGAAACGTATTAAAATTCCATATTTCTCTCTGAAACCTTACTCCTGGTGAGTTAGTGAACTTGTCATGTGTATATAAAGAAGCTTTGCTTTCAAGGAGAATGAAAAATGGTTTTCTTCTATAATCAGGGACTCACCTCTCTTTCCTCCCTGGCAACATACGCCATCGTGCCTGGCTCCCTAGCAACCATGTCTCTCTCTCAGACAGCTTTATTTGAAGCAATCTTCACTGAAGAAAGGGTAGCACAAAAAAGCGTGGATGTAAAAATAAAAGAAAAATGTCTAGGCTTACTTTTAAATAATCCATGCTTCCTTGGGATGCTAAGCACATTTTTCCTTGTATAATTTTATTGAAAAAATTAAATTAAAAGACCATAGATTTATCACAGGGATGAAGAAATAGGCATCTCTTCAGGAAAGTGGTATGCTATGTTGAAAGAATATAATTGGTAAATTATGATGGAACAATAATAGAAGGAGCAATTCTCTTCAAATAGAAAGTTCTCAAAAGCAGCATGCCAAATACTTCACTAGAGCATTGTGTCATATGTGACTAAATGCAATTTTGACACAACAATCTGTACTTTGAGTGTATCCGTCCTGCAGCCTAAGGGCTCACTCATTTCTATATTGAGTTGGTTTGCCGCGTCAAAGGTCTGGCAGAACACGGGGAGGTTTAAGCAAACAGCTCACTTTATTTGAAACAGATTTACTGCTGTCATCAGGAACACTGTGTCCTACAGAGCCACGTTTTATGGCCCATGCACCTGATGGGCCAGTTCATCCTTCTGAAGTTGCTCGTCCCTGCCTAAACCTGCCGACGGGCTCTCATCGGCCTCTACGGCAGCTAACCTAACCAAGTGACCCAACAAGGTCATTTATGTCCAAATGAGGGAACAATAAAAATAAACCTGCACATTACAAAGATGATTGATATTCTAAAACAGGAAATATTTTCTATGGAAGATAGTCACAATTTTTTTCATTTTAAAGTGATTTATTTTAAGGGAAATTATATCTGACTATGAGAAATTTACTTGATAAATGAATAGGGTTTTTTTGTATTTCTAAAGATGTATACTTTTTAAAGTATATCTTTGATGTCACCTATCTGTAAGCAAAGATTTATTCACTAATTAACAAGAATTAAACTATTAAACATATACTATTAAATTAAAAACTTGTACACTGTACCTTTAAAGTCATACATAAGTATATGGTCTCTTAGGGAAAATATTTTAAAATAAATGCTTCAGTTTTAAATTTTTATTTAAATGTATTTTTAAGAAATACATAAAATTGTACAGGTTCATGGAATATATTATTGGATTTTTATTTGAATTTACTTTTATCTAACATATAAAATATTATACACGTTTCAGCCCATAAAATTGGAATGAACACATATGAGGTAAAAAGTGTAGAATTTTATGAGGTAAAATATATATAATACTTATGCATGTGTTAGAAATAAATTTATATTTTAAAATGAAAATACAAATGAAAGCTTTGATAATAATGTATTCACAGATATATAGAATTTTAAGCTTCTATTTTCAATATATAGTGTTATTTTGGAAAGTCTCTAAGACAAAAGTGAACAGGCAGGCATTATTCCATATATGTGTGTTATGTATGTATACATACATATATATATATCCCATCCAATCCCATTGGCAGCGAAACCAAGATAACTGTTCTACCTCATGTTGTAAGTTAGAGCGAAGTGTCCTATTGCTGCCCGTTGGGGGAAGTCTGTGCATTTTAAGATCAGCAGACAGCTCTCTGTCTTCCCATCCCTGCTAATCTCCTTGGCCAATGCTCTCCTTGCTCTTTCAACCGAGGCCCATTACACTTGCACCCATTCACAGGGAAACAAGAAAGAGCATGCTAATTTAAAAACTGGCTTTGCTGGTCTACACGCAAGAAATCTGAGAGAGGCAGATGTGCTAGCTTCCTACCACAGGATGCAAAGCCTGGGGTAACTTGTCAACAGAAAGCTTGTTTTGGTCTCAGTGAGCGGGAGTGTTCATCCCTGATTGATTGGTCTTGATGACTCTTGGAAGAAAGCCCTTTACCTTTGAAGTGAAAATAAAGAGCAAGTGAGGAAGTTTTATACCCCTTCCAGGGCATGTTCTAAAAGATTTGAAGACCCCTTACCCCAATTAAGGCTCTCAACACCTCCCAACATTGTCAAGCTAAAGCATTACCATATGGGTCTTGGAACACTTTAGATCCAAATTATAGCAATAAATATCATATATACGCCACTACTAAAGTATATGTAGACCTAATTTAAGTAATAGTTACTCAACACTCCCTAATCTCCAACCACTGTTGTAAGGATTGTGTGTCTCTCATAGGACTGTGACTCTAGGAAGACATTAAACCATGCACATGATTGTCATGGTTCAAACTTGCAATGTACCCCTCTTCCCAACAGATTCCCGATTTTTATTTAAATGTTTGGTCTTCAAATGGTGACATTGTTTTAAAAGGTTCTAGAAACCTCATTGGGAGAGACAAACCAAGAAAAGTGGGTTTTGGGGTGGAGTGGGGCTGATGTCATGGCCTCCCTGATTCCTGCCTACTAGGTATTAAATTATGTTTGCTTCCCTGTTTAGCTTTAAGTTTCCCATATTTCCTCAGGTCATTTATCATCCACTGCTACCTCTACAAGACCCATTCCTGATGAAAGAAGTTCTTTGATGAAGATGTGTCTGTGGGGGTAGCACAGATTCAGTTCTGAAGCAAGGTTGGGGTTAATTCCAGGTAAGCTGCTCTCTCTCCTCATTATTGTGGGCCTTGTCCAAAGGCTCTTCTCCTGAGTTGATGAGCTTGGTTCCTCTTGCTTTTCAGAAGGCTAGTTTTATCATTTATCACATGAGTAACTGAACATGTTGGTCATTTTGTGGGTTTTTCTTTCTATCATACCTCTGGATATGGCAGGCTCTGTCCTATCCAGAATGTTCTTCCCTTCTTTTCTTTCTCTGTTGATCCTTTTACTCTCTACTGATCAGTCTGAAGATTCTCTTCCCATATTTATATTTGGCTAAGTCTTCCAAATTTACCTAAATTGATTAGCAGTGATAAATGTTCTACTATAGATATCTGAAACATGAGAGCTCTTGGATAAAAATTGCATCTGTGTAGGAACTATTTCTCCATAATCAAGGGTAACTCTCAGTGGACAAGCAAAAGCAGAAAGTGAGTGAGCGCCACAGAAGTCAACTGCTTCAGTTAAAAACAGCCCGAGCATCCAGTTAGAAGTCAAATCTCCTCTGCTGTCTTGAAATTCTGCAGCCATTATCAAAAAGACAGAAACGGACTAAGAAAGTCGAAATCTGTACCACAAACTTTAAGGAAAGGAATTTAGCGGAAGATGTGCCAGTGGGAAATAAACGACAAACTATTAAATATCTCTAATTCTGAAACTTTGGCTTCAATATATGAAAAAGAAGCAAATGTATGCAAAGATTATTTTATAAAAAGGATCAAAGTAAGAGTAAATATTTGTGAAGATTATTTTAAGAGTGTTTTTTCATTTCTAAATATAAAAAATGTTTTAATGTGGATGAATTTATATTCCAAGTATAATATTAATATAAAATTAAATTGAAATAAGAAGGGAAGTCATAAATAAGGTAAACTGCATTGTATACTGAGTCAAATCTGCCCAGCTGGACTTCACCACTGGATTCTAGCTCTGAGAGATGGGTAGTCATGGGTAAATCAACTCATATCTCTTGTTGCATTCTGGCAAATACCTTGGTTTTGGAGTAGGAAATCTTCAAGTTGCCTCCAGTTTTGAAATTGTACGGTCTTTGTGTGGTTTACAATAGCAGAGAGAATCAGGAGTTAAGTTTTTAAAAATATTAAGTTCTAAAATCTGAACCATCTCTATTATTTCAGTATGAAATGGTTCATCATATAAATGGAAACATTGATCCTACAAAGTAAACACAAAATTAGGAATTGATATTATTTAAAAATAGGAACCTGAAATTCAGATTATTATAATCAAGCATACTACATCAAAACCAGTGTTCTTTAAAACAAAAATGTGGTGAACTGTTGTTTACATAAAAATTCAACTTTTAAGTGCCCCAAATTATCTAAAAAATGCATACATTAAGACTATTGTCTTAGTATTCTGAAAAGAAAAATAAATATCTTGTGACTTCTCTTCATACTTTTTCTCTGTGTTTTAAGCAAAATTTTAAAGAAAACCAGTAAACTTGTCTGGCTTGTAGAAGACATAAATTCAAAAGAATCTAATCTTACTTTCTATAGTTGTGTTGCTTGAATCTAAGTGGAAAGAATTTAATTATCCATATTTTCTGAGGGTTTTCTCAGAGCTGAAATCTCTAAATAAAATGGCCATACTGAATTAGAAAAATGACAGGAGATATCACTGTCTTAAGAGCATAGTGATTGTCCTTCCCACATACACCAGTTTTCCAAGTATTTCATATCCAAGACCAAGCCTAGTAGATATAAATTAAGACCAGTGAGTATTTTTCTAGTCTTTTCAATTTTTTTCACTGGCATGCTGTCTCTAGAAATCAATGTAACGCAGCTCACTTTTACTTGAAATGGTAAATCAAAGTAAATCTGGAACTAGTCTAGACTGGACTAGACTGGATCATCGGCAAGAGGTCCTTTGACATTGAGAACTCTACCTAAGTCTAAACAATAAAAATACCAAACTTGGAATCTCTTAGAACTTTTCCATGCCTTATATCATCATTTATATTTATTCCCTTGAAAATTATTTTAGACACTTGACCTTTGTGTATTTGCCAATCCTACACTCTTATTTTGAGAGACAGACACCAGATAATAGGCCTTATAAGCAAGCAGAACGTATGGTATACCAGAAAATGAGAAAAAGCTATGGGCAAAATAGTAGAGTAGAGAAAAATGCTTGGAGGGTAAACCAGGATGAAGAGGATCCAAACAATAAAGAATTTGCTCCAAGGTTTGCATCAGAGTACCTGGAAGGGTGATAGTATCAACCATTAGTGCTGAAAAGAGTGGTTGGGCATTTGACCTGGAGCTTATGTGCTGAGACTGAGATGTCCACTAGAAATGCACATGAAATACCTTTCATTCTGCCTCATAACAAGATGGAAGAGGAGTGGTGTTTTGTCACTCACGTTCAGAGTTCTGAGGAAAACTGGAAATCTCTAAAGAAAACAATGGAATAGATGTTCAAGTGACTTGCTGTCTTCCAAAAATAAATGTCTTAGGTTTTGGTACAAGTAAATTTAAAAATATTTCCATATGCCTTTAACCTCAACATTTGGGAGGCAGAGACAAAAGGATCTCTGAGAGTTTGAGATCAGCCTGGTCTACATAGTGAGTTCTAGGCCACAAATGGCCACATAGCAGGAGCCTGGCAAAAAGAGAAGCAGAAGAATGTGGAGTCTGACCAAGGCTCTCTTCCTCTCTGGTTGCCCAGAGACTGATTCTAAAGGAAAAAAACGATGAGACAAAGGAAACGCCACTGACGGACTTTACCCCAGTATTAAACTTATAAGAAGGCTGTTCATCAAAACACTTCATAAAATACCTGGTTTAGGTGCTAAGGAGTGGCTCGGTTAGTAAAATGTTTTTAGAGCAAGCATGAAGAGATAGACTGTGATCCTTAGTGCCCACATAAATACCAAGTATAGTGGCATGCACTCACACCAGTCCAGGAAGGCGAAGACAACTGGGTCCTGGGGGCTTTCTGGCCAGCTGGGGTAGCAGAATTATGAGGTCCAGGTTCATTGAGCCTTGAAAACAGAAGTGAAGAATGATTTTAAGGAAGACATCTACTGTTAACCTCTGGGCCCATACCTACCTGTACACATGCACATACACACAGAAATATCTGTTCATGAAATCAAGATTGTAAAAATATGGTCTCATGGCCTCTGTTTCAAAATGTTTCTTTTTTTTAAATTACATAATAAAATTTGCAATGCATTGACATTTCAAAGGCTTCTCTATGGAGACTGAGGATTGCTGTTCCTGTGCGTACAAATAGCCAGACAGAACC